GCTCCTGATTTCTGCCCGCTGGGTGTCGGTGGCTCTGTCTCACCTAGTGATGCTCACAATCCGGGGCCCATCTGTAGTGCCCAACCCAAGGCGAAGACAGAGCAGCAGGGTTGGGAATAGCCAAGAGTCAGAATTGGTGCTAATCCTTGTAACGCCGCTCCCCGACCCTGTAACCCTGGGATCTGGTTTTCAGAGCTTAATTCATGAGATCTGTGAGGGTCAGTGGGCTCCAGAGGACCCCAGAACTGGGAGCAAGGGGGTGGGGGGGGGGGGTGTCTCTCTTAAATGCTGTAGTTTGCAGACAACTGGGCACTTGCAAACCCAGGCTATACGCTTGAAAGAGCCCCGTTGCCCAAGCTGGGGCAGCTTGCAGGATCCATGCCTTTATGCAAAGCCCTGCACACAGGGCAGCGTCAGGGGTGCACAGGGCGGCATGTGTCCAAAGACCTTGTTTTAGTTTTGCATTGGCTTCCTGGCGCTTAACCCTTGCTGCGTCTCAAAGCCGCCGGCTCCTGAGCCCGGTTCTCACGTCCTGCTTCCTCCACACAGAGGGGATCTGCTGGCTGCAGCAGGGGAGGGAAGCCAAATGCACCATGATCCTCCGGACGGGCGTGACCTGGGAGGAGTGCTGCAGCAATGGCAACGTGGACGTGGCCTGGTCCAACTACACCTACCCGGGCAACAAGATCAGCCTCCTGGGCTTCCTGGGACTTGTGACCTGCCATCCGTGCAAAGGTACAGGCGCCAGCTGATAGGATGCATGGACCCGGTGGCACTGATCCCAGCAAGGGCCTGTAATGCCCCCAGACCCTGGCATCATGTGCTTGCTCGATGCCTATTTGCATTAGCCCGGTATCATAGACTCATGGGCTGAAAGGGGTCACATCTCGTCCAAACCCCTGCCTAAGGCAGGATCAGCCCTCTCCAGCCATCCCAGACAAATCCATCATCTAACCTCTTACTAAAGCTGTTGTTAAACCTGACACTACACAAGACGTCACACCCGAACCTGACACAGGTGAAGTAGGGGGACCGCGGTGGGCAACGTCCTGCTGCTGTAAAAGGTTGTTAATAGAGGCTTAAAAGATCGCAGACAGAGACTAGAGCCCCGCTGCAGAGGAAGGCAAAAATCCCCTCAGTCCATACCAGTCTGACCCAGGGGTAAAACTCCTTCCTGACCCCAATGCAGCGATCGGTCTGACCCTGAGTGGAGGGACAAGACCCTCTAGCCAGGAATCTCCGGCTTGAAGTCCCAGCAAGGCAGAGGTTAGGGAGAATAGACATCTCTCAAAAGACATCGAAGTCCCAGCAGGAGCACTGGCACAGCCCAATCCCCATCCCCAGCCTGGGCAGCAGCCAACACCCCCATCGGCTATGTCTCTACCACCCCACTGCCCGAGTCCAGCGATTAGGCAGAGTACATTGGAGGGGGTTGCAGAGTGATGAGACAGGCACAGAGCAGGGAGGGGGATTTGGGCAGGGATGGTCCCCAGGTGGCATGGAGCAGCTGAAGCAGGACCGGGTGGGGGGGGGACCAGGACCCCATGTGCTGCTCAGAGCCTCTGCAGCCTCTGGGCCCCAAGCAGCTCCTGGGCTTGGAGGTTTGGGTTCAGATTTGACCGTGGCAGGTTCTCGGGAGAGGTTGGCCTGGCCGGGCAGGAATCCCTGTGCGAGACGTCTACCATCCTAGGAGACCTGGACCGTGCCAGGCAGCATGGGTGCAGAAGGGAGTCTGAAATGATCCGTATTACACAGCGCAGCTGTCTCAGAGCTTGTCGCGGACGGATCTGGGGGTTTGGGGTTTCTTCCCAGCCCCGTCTCAGTCCCCACCCCGGATCCTAGAGCGACTGGAGTGGGATCGGCAGGGC